TCGTAGTACAAGCGTAGCGCGTAGCCACCGCTAGCGCGGGAACTCGGCTGGCAAACTCGCGCTCTGATTGGTCGCGGTTTTTCGTTAATATCTCGTAAACGAAGCCTCAGTTTAAATTTTGGCTAAGGAAAAAGTTGTTCCAATTCACCCCCCGAGTGCCACATTTCCGGGTCGGAGGACATTTTTGGGACACCCTGTATATTCAAAATTAGTAGACACAAGAATAAATTAGTTTACGTACATTAAAAAAATACGAATGAAATGAAATAGAAGTATTTATGTTACCCATTGTATGTAAACAATCAGTAATTTATTATTATTATTATTATTATTTGATATTGAGTTTCTCTTCAGCGTTTTCCACTGAGTTTTCTCTCTATTTTACAGGTTAAAACCAAGTAAAATAGAGGTTCACTATTTTTATGTTAATGGATTCATGAACTTCCTGACCAAGTTGCATGTGTGTAGTATCACTGCTTTCTGGATGTTTGTGTGTATGGATGGATGTATGTTTATTTTGTGTAAATTTTCTGTGAATGATTGTGGAGTTATGCCTGTTGGAGATATGATTAATGGTATTATTTTAATTTAAAAATTAGTAGACACAAGAATAAATTAGTTTACGTACATTAAAAAAATACGAATGAAATGAAATAGAAGTATTTATGTTACCCATTGTATGTAAACAATCAGTAATTTATTATTATTATTATTATTATTTGATATTGAGTTTCTCTTCAGCGTTTTCCACTGAGTTTTCTCTCTATTTTACAGGTTAAAACCAAGTAAAATAGAGGTTCACTATTTTGATGTTAATGGATTCATGAAAACCAAGTTGCATGTGTGTAGTATCACTGCTTTCTGGATGTTTGTGTGTATGGATGGATGTATGTTTATTTTGTGTAAATTTTCTGTGAATGATTGTGGAGTTATGCCTGTTGGAGATATGATTAATGGTATTATTTTAATTTTGTTTTGTTTCCAGAGGTCCTTTATTTCTATGGCTAGTGGTGGGTATTTTCCTATTTTTTCTTCTTCTTTTTGTTTTATGTTTGTGTCATTCGGTATTGCGATGTCTATAAGGTATGTGGTTTTGTCTTTCTTGGTGGTGTATGTTATGTCTGGTCTGTTGTGTGCTATTGTTCTGTCAGTGTGTATTGTTACGTCCCAGTATAGTTTCGTTTGGTCATTCTCTAGTATTGTCTCTGGTTGGTATTTGTAGTATGGTATTTTTTTGTATTAGGTGATGTTTTAGTGCTATTGCCTGATGAATGATTTTGGCCACTGTATTGTGCCTGGTTGTGTATTCTGTCGCCGCAAGTAGTCTGCATCCACTAGTTATATGATGTATTGTTTCTGTAAATTGTTGACATTTTCTGCATTTATCTGTGTATATGTCTGGGTTTCATCCTGTATTGCTATAGTGAATCCTTCTGTTTCAGGGTGTAGTTCTCCTTTAATGAGCCATGTGTATAAAAGTCGTTTATTTATGTGTGGTTGCTGCATTATATTATAGTGTCTACCGTGTATGGTTTTCTGTGCCCAGTATGAGAGTTTTTGTGTTAAGTGTGTCTGGTTGGTTTGTCCTGTGTTTTGTATTGGGGTTTCACTTAGGTTTAGTTGTGTGTATCGTTTATCAGCTCTAGCTATTGCAAAATGTAGTGACGTGCTGTTTCCTTTACTATGAAAATAGTTCTGTAGATTTTGGATTTGTCTTTCGTGTAGTTCGGTGATGTCTATTATTCCTCTTCCTCCGAGTTCTCTAGGCAGTGTGGTTCGTTCGATGCAGGATTTAGGATGTTGCATCCGGTATTTTGTCAGCATTGTTCTGCTTAGTCTGTTTATGTCTTCCGTATCTGTGTTTGTCCATTTTATGATGCCGAACGAGTATGTTAGTAGTGGGATTGCGTATGTATTTATTGCTTTAGTTATGTGCTTTGAGTTTAGTTTTGTTTTTAATATAGATGTTAGCCGATTCTTGTATCTATGGAGTATCTCTGTTTTGATACGTTTGTGGTCTAGTCTTGTGTTTTGTTGGAATTCTAAATATTTGTATGTTTCGTGCTCTTGCATTGTTTCTATGAATTCGTTGTTTATCGTTTCTATTTATATTAACTATTTGTTCGGTCTGAGTCCATTTTCCTGCTTTTATTGTCAGTACTTTGCATTTGCTTATTCCAAATTCCATTTGTATGTCTTGGTTGATGTCTTCTATCGTTTTAATCAGGTACTTTATTTGTGTGTTTGTTTTACCGAACAGTTTGATATCGTCCATGTATAATAGGTGGTTTATGTTGTGTATTGTTCTTGTTCGGTTTTTTACTTCAAACCCATATCCTGTTCTATTGAGTGCTTTGGATAGGGGATTCAGACACATGCAAAACCATAGGGGGCTTAATGAGTCGCCTTGGAATATCCCTTTTTTTATATTTATTTCGTCGGTATGTATGTTTGTGTCTGAGTTGTTGGTGTTTAGGTGTATGGTTGTTCGCCAGTCGTTCATGGTGTATTTGAGGATGTGTGGATGGTATGGGGTATTCTGTATATTTCTAGAGTTTGTTGGAGCCAGCTATGTGGGACGGAGTCCAATGCTTTTTTATAATCTATGTAACATGTATGTAGGTTTCTTTGTTGTTCTTCTGCTTGTTTCATTATGACTGTATCTATTATTCGTTGTTCTTTGCACCCGCGACTATTTTTCCTGCATCCTTTTTGTTCTGTGAGTATGTTATGTGTTTGTAGATGTGCTTCTATTTTCTGTGTTATGATCGACGTGATGATTTTATAGATTGTAGGGAGGAATGTTATTGGGCGGTAGTTAGCAGGGTCTTGTGTGTTATGATTTTTTGGTTTGATGTATGTTTTGCCTTCTGTTAGGAATTTTGGTGTTTTTCCTGGGTGGTGGATTATATCATTGATGGCATGTGTTAATGGTTCATGTGTAGCGGTTAGTTTCTTGTACCAATAGTTTTGAATTCCGTCTATCCCTGGTGCTTTCCAGTTATGTGTTTTCTTAATTGCGTTTTCCAGTTCTGCCTTTGTGATTATGACTTCTTGTTCTGTCTCTATGTGTGCAAATTGATCTTGTTCCTTTTTTATCCATGTGGCATTACTATTATGGTTGATCGGGTTTTCCCATATGTTACTCCAATATTTTGTTGTTTGTTCTTTTGTCGGAGGGATAATTTTGACTGTTTCTGTATTTTGTATCTCGCTGTAGAATCTTCTCTCACTGTTTCGGAACATGTTATTTTCTTGCCTTCTCAAGTTTGCTTCTTTGTATCTTTTCAGTCTGGTGCTGTATACTGTCATTTTCTGTTTTAGCGTGTCCAGCTTTGTTTCTGGATTTTCTGTGTTCTGAAGTATATTTTGTATTTTCCGTGTTAGTTTGTTTGATGTATTTCCTTTTACGTATTGTGTTAGTCGTCCGATGTTCTGTCGTAGGGTTTCTATTTTCTTTTCTATTCTTATTTGCCATTTTGGTTTTCTTGGTGTAGTGTTGGTCTTTTTTATTGGTGTTTGTTTGTTTAGTTTCAGTGTTGTGTATGCTGCGCTGTATATGATTATGTGTAGTTCTTCTATTGTGTTATTGTTGTTGTTTAGTATTGTTGGAATTAGTTTGTTGATTGTTTCTATGGTTTGTGTAGTCGTTTTGTTAATTCGTAGGTGTGGAAGTCTGGGTCTTTCTGTGGCGTTCGTTTGACTCCAGTGTGTGTGTTGTTTAATTAATTCTTCTTTTATGTTTTTCTCTTGGTGTGATTGCTGTGGTGGTGGTGGTGATGGTGTGTGTTTATCCATCAGTTCTGTTTCCTCTGGGATTCGTTGTGGTACTTGTGTCTGGGTTCTTGTTTGCGGTGATGTGATCGGTGTTGTATTGTTTGTTTCTGTGTTTAGTGCTCTGGCTGCTTCTTCTTTAATGTTCTGTATTTCATACCGTGGTATTCTGTTATTTGTTACTAGTGTTCGTTTCTGGTCCATTAGGCGTTGTTGTGTGAGGTTTGCAAGTTGTGGGTATTTGTCTATAAAGAGCGTATGCAACTGTGGTCGGTATCCAGAGTTTATTGTTTCCAGTTTCGTGGCGATGTAGTAGCAGCGCATGACATGTCTGTTCATTTCATGTGTCCATTTCATGCGCTGCCTTAAACTTCCTCCCTTGGTGGTCGGTGGTTGTATGCCCACCGAAGCACTTTCGGCAGTTGCAGTGTGGAGTTGTTGTGTTCTGCTTGTCGTTTCTGTGGCTATTGTTTGTTCGGGTGTCCCGGTATGCGTTTGCCTTGTGTACGCAGTACCACTGGTGGTCTGCATGCTGCTATATCTAGCACCAGCTCCAGATATGCCCTGACGATCCTCAGGTAGCGGCTCTTTTCCGAGGCTTCGTTCTCTCACCATTTTCATGAGTGTTTCCCTTTTAGTCGCCTCGTACGACAGGCAGGGACTGCCATGGGCCTATTCTTCCCCGGGGCCCACTTATTATTATTATTATTATACTAAATGTGTATAAATTATTGTCTAATTTAGTTAACGTTCTAGTTCAGGATTACTTAGGAGTGTATCCAGTTTTTTTCTTTTCAACCACGTTAATACATTGTACGTATAAAATTTGGACAATATTGTCGAAAAACACAGACACGCACTCCCGATATGCAGCGATAAACCTCGTAGAATTAAATGTACGGTAAAACGGAGCATGACAATAATTTGTTTAATTTGTTCACTCGCTGATTTCACAAATTATTATCGCGGCGTATTCTACTCCACGTTTAATTCCTCCAGCAGAATGAGAAACATTCCATCATATTTACTGTATACGAGCAGAATGGTTGAACAATTTTTAACAAAAACATTCATTTTTACAGTACATTAAGAGAAATAAAGAAGTCTCATATCAAGATCTCATCAGCTACATAAAAATTACTGTGAAAGAAACAAATTTTATAACGTAATGAAGATTTTCTACCAACCATAACCATACAGCCATATGAATAGAGAAGAAAAAACAATTACAGCCCGACTAAGAATCAATTACAACGAATACTCAATTAAAAAAACAGAACCACCTTACTGCAACTACTGCCACGAATATATGTACATCAAGCAACCATCTTCAGTTTGAGTACAGAAGATTCTAATCACTAAAGACTAAAGCGAAAACATAAACACAAACCCTGACACAGTTCTCATTTCACAGAACTACTGGAACACAATTAATCTTCTATACAACTCAAACCTTAACTCTAAAATCTAAGTACCTGAAAACAACGTAATAGAAGCTAAACTTTGCTATTAATGATCTATGCAGGGTTAGTCACGAGAAACAGAGCACTTAAATATCTCTCTTGGGATTACATATAGGAGATTATTTGCAAGACAATGTTGAGTTGTTCAAGTGGCAAAAGTACAAAAAACTGTTTTGTTTGATGTTATTTTCAATGTTAGTTGATCATACTTACCGATGGTTTTGTTAATGGCATCATGCAGTTTTAACTTCATAGCGTTGTAGGTGATATCAAGACGAGTTCAGCGACATAGGATATTATGACCTTGGACTCATAAATCAAGCTTCGATCAACATAAACATTAATATAACGCTATGAAGTATTGTTTCAATTTCAAAAGTTCAAATCAATGAAGATTTCAATCAGACGTCACATAAGTTGTCGTCACACACTTTAATGATTCTGTTGATCGACTCTAGATTTATGCATTTAAGGTCATCTCAATGTCATAGTATCCTATGTCACTGAACTCGTCTTGACATTAGGTATAACGATATGACGTCAACACAATATGATGCCATTAACAAAAACATCAATGACCATGACCAAATAACCTTGAAAATAACATAAAACAAAAAAATTGTTTATACCTTTGCCCCTTTCAATCATACAACTTTCGTCTTACAACATATTATCCTACCTTTAATCCCAACGGAGATACAGTGACTCACACATTCGTTCATGTAAATACTTTCGAAATAACAATTAAGTCTATAAATTTCTATGCTATTTCTATTTATGTATTCTCATTATCTCTAGTTCCATCATTCTTTCCTGATCAATTTTTCTCAACATTAAAGTAAAATTCGCAATTTGATAAGTATACAGGGTGTCTCAGCTAACTTGATCACCTCGAATAATGACTTAACGGAACACTTTATGACAATTTTGAGGCGTGGAACTTAATGACATCAAGGGACATATCTTATTAGGTACGTTCTTTTTGTGGGTGGAGACATTTCAGAGATTTTAAGGTCACCTTAATTTTTTTTTTAACGGAATGGCCTATTCTTTGTACAATAGATCGACAGAGTATCAAATTCTGAGTAAAAATGTGTTGACCTTGAAATCTCTGAAATCCCACCACACACAAAAAAAAACGTACCTTGCAAGATGTGCCCCTTGATGTCATTTAATTTCCACGCCTCAAAATTATCATAAAGTGTACCGTTAAGTCATTATTCGAGGTGATCAAGTTAGCTGAGACGTCCTGTATAATTTGATCAAATAAATGCAACCGCCTACCGAGAACAAATTTGTGAGTCACTGTATCCAGGTATTCTGTTTCTTGTGACTAATCCTGTATGGTAGACGATGCAACGTAAAACAGAAGAGAAAAAAATTCCCTCTTCCAGTTGAAACTGAGAGCCCTCTGCGTGATTATGCAAAAATTGTCTGTAAAATCGTAAATTTTCGAGAATTTGATGTGACTTCCAAATACGAACATTAATACTGATACGTATCAATTCCCAGGAATGGTGCCACGGTTTAAACTGCTATCGAAGTAAATTATCGCTAGTTTTGTAAGACCGATTTGTTAACGTACACCGTGGTGTCGCACCGGTATTACGCACGGAGTAGGTGTTATCGAGACACGTCAGGTAGACAGTGACGAGGGTGGTTTTTGCCTGTCTGATCCGCTTTTGAGTTGAAAACGTTGCCCCCTAGCGACCGGCTCACGATATGGTTAAACTTTGGTTGATAGGCTACACTGTTCTTCTCTCGATTATGAGGCTACTTACAGAGAGTGTTTCTGACCTATAAATATAATCTTGACTGATTAATTCTTCTCTGGAAGCAGCTGTCCATTATATTAGGTGTACCAATAAATAATCTACTACTTTGTTACCAGATTTAATATCTGTTTATGATAAAATAAAAATGTATGCCTCGTTAATAATACTTATTGTTTTGTGACATCGTGCAATGTTTTAATCAAGAAAAAGGATGAAAAACCGCACTGGCTTTAAATTCTATGGCAATTTCATTTAAAAAATAGGGAGTTACTTATTGGTAAATCTAATATTTTTCCTATAGGGCTGTACACGCATATAAAACAAAGAAAATTGTGAACATCACTCTGATACATAATTACTTAATAAGGCACAAACTATGTTTTATTGTTTGAAAACAACATTATTGATGGTATTGCTTTCTAGAAAAAGGAATACCCCCCAAAAAATTGCGTAAACAAAAAATAAAATAGCAGAGGATTTGGTGTAAATGTATATTCATTAAAAATTGTTCTGTATTTCGTAATATAATTATTCTTCTGAAACACCATATATATTCTTATATTTTCTTATCTGTACATTCACTTGCCTAAATATTACTAGCTTAGAAAACGAAGTATTTCAACATTTAATCTTTAGGTATAGAACGAATTAAAATTTTCGCTACAGCAATTTTCCACGCCATCTAGAAATGAAACAGTACATGTACCCTGTTATTGCATAACGCAATCTTTTCCATATTCTCATCACGAATAATTAACATAGACAAAATAAGGAAAGCAAATAAACATAGTCTTATTTTCTAACAATAATCGTTAACATTTTTTAACGATTTTTGTTTATCAAAGTTACGCACGAAATAATCGACCATAAAAATGGCGCTTTGATAATAAAAGTATTATATTACCCTCAATCGTTCAGAAGCATTTCCGCCGTTACCATTATCTCTAGTAAAACGATATTTTTAATAACAATTTCTTTTTTGGGTTGATGTTACCTTACTTATATAAATACTACTTGAAATAGTGGTATTAAAATGGTAGCAAGTAATTTACAGTTGTATTAATGATGTACTTATTTGTCGACGTTTCTGATAATAAGTAAGACGGAATCGTTTGAGGGTTTAATACAAAACGAGGAGTATTGATACTATTAAAACAGGTCTCGGTATTACCACTACGTGTAAGTGAACTAAAGTTCCTAACATATCTGGTCATCCGCGTAGTAGTCGGATATGCGGGTAATAAAGTTACGGTTACCCGAAACGTGTACAGTATAGTCAACCGATGAACTCAGTTAACTGGTTACACGCTGGATTATAATAAACATTACGATTATCTTCAACCTGTTCTATACATATGTATAGGGCATTTTATTATACAAATTCGAGACGGAAACTGGAGATAACTAAAATATAACGATCTATTTATAATATAAAATTACTCTCTGGACGTTCCGCGTTACACCACACCATATTGCTTAGCGTTCCAACGCAGTGTTAGCAGGCTGTAGCAGGCGTGAATCTATCCATGAAGTATAACCTCGGAGTTTGTAAAGGTCTAGGAGTCTTGTCTTGGGTAGACAGACCATGCGCGCTCTGCACACCGTGTGGCGTTTATTGGTACTAATCCGTGGCGACGTCACAAGCTTGAGTCATGTAGAGGATCCTTCAGACATATGTAATATTGATGAAATGTAAAAAAACAAAATAACAATAAAGAAATTAATTATTTACGTAATAATTTTGATAAATTTAAGCAGTATAAATATGTAATATTTGTATTCAGTGTTATATATGTTGTATATACTTGCGTTATTATTATACAGGGTGTAACAAAAATGTTGTCGGAGCCGGAAATGGGACACCCGGGGGGTGAATTGAAACAAGTTTTCCCTTAGTAACAATATAATCTAAGGCTTCGTTACCGAGATATTAACGAAAAACCCCGACCAATCAGAGTGCGAGTTTGCCAGCCGAGTTCCCGTGGTAGCGTTGACTACAAATCGCAGCGCATAGCCACCGAGAAGATGTTTCAGGACACGAATATGTGGCGGGTATTGCCACGTGCGTATTAATTTCATTAAAGGAATGTACCCGAAAATAACTCGACACGTTCTTTGTAACACGATATAATTTAATACGAAATAAAACACATTGTATACACAAAAGACACTTAGTGAACTAATTCTTTAAATAACTATAAATTAACGCTATCAATAATTATACATAGCGGGAACGTCCGTACCGCTCTTTGTCCCGAACAAAAGGCGACGCATTTTCTTAGGGCCTAAAAACCCCCTCTACTTAATCGCCTGCGTCACTTCAGGTGTCGCTATATTCGCCTGTCGGTGAATTCGCCTTAAACTTCTTAGTCCTTAA